CATGTTACGATCTACAACTTTACTTAGAACATCAACAAATATTTACTTGAACTCGAACTGAACTTTTTGTCAGGTTCAAGTTAGGTTTGAAATTCGAACCAGACTTTTAATTAGATTCGAATTTTCGAACCGGACTTTTCATCAGGTTCAAGTCCAGTTCAAGCTCGAACCGAACCAGACTCGAACTGAACCAGACTTTTTTTTGGAACCCTAGTTATCGATAAATAATATATTGTGATAATGATCAATATATTATTATATATCAATAAATAATGTATTAATAATGTTCGATAATTATCTATATGGATATTTATCAAAAATTATTAGAGTTATTGATTAATATTGATATTTCAGAAAGATATTTATCAATTTTTACAAATATGATGATGATTCTTGATGAATATTATCCCAAAAAATTTCCTGATGTATTTAATAACTGTTGTTATATAATAATTAATTCTTTTTATTACATAATTAATTTTTCAAATATTTGTTGAAAAAAATAATTTTCTCTTTTAACCAAGTTAATAAAGCTGAAATTATTAATTTCTCTCTCAGTTTTATCAAGTTTTTCTTAAGTTGGTACTGAAATTAGTTTTTCAACAAGTGTTAATTATAAAAAGACTGCTTGAATAATTCTAACATTTGAAAAATATCATAAAACTATTAAGAGTTGTTGTGAAGTATTTCTGATGTATTTAGTATTAATTGTTTCATTTTGAATGTTAAGACCAATTTTTGCAAGTGAAAATCTTGAAAAGATTTGACAAACTGTTCCAATTGAAATTTTCATGATGATTTTTATGTCAATCAAAATTATTTGTTGAGATTGTATAGTTATTACTTCTGTATCAGAATAATACAAATCAAAGTCTGTATCAGTATTATGCATTTGTTTGGATATAGTTTCTTTTTCATTATCATTATAAACTTTGAGACAATAATTTATTTCTTTGATTTTTTCTTTTCCTTTATAATAATCATCCAAAACTTCTTTACAAGTATTATATTTACTTTCATTGTTTTCTTCGACCAATTGTTAGATTATTTGTTGAATTAATTAATAAATTTTTTCAAAAATATTTCCAATATCAATTGGTAATAATTGTATATCATTTTGAAAAGTTTCCAATATTTGTTGAGCTTTATTAAATGAATTTTGATGATAAATATACTCTAATTCATTTGTTAGATCATTGGTTTGGATAATTATTGTTTCCAGTTCATCAATATTATTTTTTTGTGTTTTGACTGTACACAATCAGAGCAAAATTCACTATCACATGGAATTAAACATTCTTGACAAAGCTTGATATTGATATGTTTCAAACAAGCCAGTTGCAATCTTCTTTCTGGTGTAATTTGTTGGTATATTGCTTGGAAGATTTCAGCAACCAACATAACATCTCTCAGCTTAACTATATCTTTTTTCTGGATATGAATGGTGATACATTGATAGTGCGTTTTTCGAATCTTTGTTTCTCTTTGAATAGGCGGTCAAACTCTTGCCAGAAAGCTAAAAGATCACTGGTATAATTTTGTGTTTTACTGGAGCCGGATCTTACTGAACCGGCGCTACTGCTACGACCAGTACCATCGCATAAATCCCGAATTTCATATCCAAGGAGTCTCGCATTATCGACAAGATCGGTAATCTTTTTGGTCAATTCAGTATTGGTACTTTTGCAGTTTTCTAGTTGTAGCGTTCGCAGTCAATTGTTTTTCAAATTGTATATAGTTACGCCAAAAGTTAATAACTTTAGAATATCATGATGAGGTCTTGTTGAATATTAAGGATGCGTGAGAATTATTACTGGACTTAGCCCAGTACTGCGCCATTGGACCTCTAGAACTTGTAAATTTTATTAGTGATTTAGTGAACCCCCCTAAAACTTGGGATTAACCAATCAGATCGTGTATTCGTGGGATAACATTTATTCGCAAAGTCGCGTTCAATCTCTCTAATGCCACCTCGCAAAAGCTTCAAAAAGAAAACAGCTAGTCAAAACATTACATCTATCCCGTTACGCTATAATAAGAACTCAATTGTTCGAGAAAAAGTGACGCCTCCACAGCCAATTACAAAGTTTTTCGAAGTATCCACCAGTCCAGATAACAACAACGACAATAATTACAATAGCTACAATAAAAGTACTCCTTCACCAAGGAACACTCTAAAATCATCTTCCCAACAGAGAATCAATAGAAAATCACAATCCAATGACGCAAAAAATAACTATCGATTGAATCAATTTGGATTCTCATTTCGACAAGAACCAGGATCACCTTCTCCCTCACCTTCATCATTTGATGGTTCTTCTACGGATAAATCACAACAACGCGAAGATTCAGGAATTGGAATTGATTTTGACATTGATGATGAGTCAAAGAAAGATAACGATAATCGTAATAATAAACAGAAACAAAAAAGTTTAGCATCGGATACAACCGAGATTTTGCCACCTGCAGACGCAATTCGTAAAGTGATCGAGGAAAACTTGTTGGATCTTACTGATAAAAAAAATAGTGATTCTACTAATAATACTATCCCAATGCGACCTAGTTCTTTGGGTTATAATTTGATCAATATAATACCAGAGGGTGATTATAATTCTTGGTTTATGGATGAAAATGGAAATAAGAGATATTCGTTGTGGAAATTGGCTGGATGTCGGGACGACATAACCAAAACTATTGACTTTTATCAGTACTAAATGTAATAATTTATCATTATTTATATTCTTAAGAATTTTCTTTAAGGGGTAAAATAAACTAATAAATTTATAACTTAATTTACAAATTTAATCGTATTGTATGTATCCTTCTTGATGTCTAGCATTAAACTTTTTTACTCCTTTGTTCATTCGATAAGTAGCTTGAATCAACCCGTAAAAATACTTGTAATACCAAAGAATATCATCGTAGCGTCCATCATATCCATTACTTTTTCCTTCATCAACAGTATCGTTATATGCTTCATGATATTCCTTCAAGATATAATAGACAGCCTCAATCGTTGCCAAATAGTGTTTATCCCTGTTCTGAAATCGCCAGAATAATGTGGTACATGGCTTCATGGTAACTTTACGGAGTTTACTAAATTCAGGGGTAGATCGTATCATGTTTGTTGCTTGTTGCCATGTTCCGTCTATTACTAACAATTTATCAAATGATTCGCGTGGAATTTCGTCCAGTTTTTTAGCATCCTAATAAACAAGAAAAGTTTTATACGCTACAATTTAAAAAGAATAATATTGAAAAAAAATATATTTACTGGTCCTGGAAACAGTAACAAAAGACGCTCATAGTTTTCAAATTTTGGTATATTTTGATATGAATGTATCATGATATCATCCGGTGCCAGTATTTTTGCATGTATTGCTGTTGATTTACCATCGCGTTCTTCTTCATGTTTGATTCTAAGTCAAATAAATATTCATAAAAACTAATCTAAACATAGAAAATACATATTTTTTTACTTACATGTCAATTTTAACGGGCAATTTTAATTTCGGCACACTATCACGCGAGCACCCAACCACCATAAAACATCGATAGCAAAAATATTTCACTGGCTTGTCACATTCAGGACATGGATTACGTTCCGTTAACGTGTCCAATATCGCGGTCGAAGATATTTTAAAACTATCGAAAGCAGACTGTTGTAGTTTTGCAGTTTCGAGTGGTGGTATTGGATTTGAGTTTGGGTTCAAGAGTTTTTTATGCGAGTATAACGTGCCAAACAATGTTTCATTTGTATCATTTTGTGAAGTTTCTAGCCCAGGAAATATGTCTATTCGGTTAATGTAGTAATTGTTTTATTATGCGTCCATCGAATGAGCAAAAAGTAAGTGGCATAAATAACTCGACACGCAGATTGACACTTACCCAAGTCAAAGTTCTCCATTTATTTATCGACATAGCGCATTGGTTGAACCACATTAACATCAGCCACGATTTTCGCGTTTGCGAAAATAATGATATGAGCTATATCGATAACGATAACGATAACAATAATGTTTCATTTAGGACCTTTGCAATTTGCTTTCTCTTTTATATTCACTTATGGACTCGTAGATCAGCATCCAAGCCAGCAACGCGACTGACAAATGTTACGACTCTTAATGATAACCAGGAAATCTAACAATTAGCGTTAGATATAAATATATTGCTGTCTGTCGATTTATTAACGTCGTAATTTGAAATTCCGTTGCGAGAAGCCTCTAGATCAAATGACAATTAAATGATTCGCTGAAAGATAATTTCCAATTGTATATCACTACCAAATCAGGTATTGATAGTCACTAATTTTTACTGAAACTCAAAAAGGAAATATTTATTCAAATATATAATTAATGATTCTTTGCATTCTAATGTTTCTTCGCATCATTAATGTAGATCAAATATACGGCCAAAAACTTCTAAAATCCTTGATCTTTAAGAGCTATCAACTCAATAATCAGAATTTTTTTAATCATAAGGAGGGATTCTGATAGAATTTAAAGCTAGTTCACTTTTTGTGTAGTAACTAAGTGACCTGCACTGTATCATGTTCATTTTTGCATACACGACTATAATTTGGTTCAATGTCAATAGAAATATAGGGGATTTTATTTAAATAAAATCATTCAGAAAATGAATTCAACAAGAGATTTCGTTTTTGAAGAATTGTAAATACGAAAAATAACATATTAGATAAAAATGCGAAGACGATAAACTTCTGACTTCCGTAATGTCCAACATCTTGAAAAGAAAAGAAATCTAGAACTAATGTAAGAATCAAAAGAAATCAAAGATAAAAATAGTATTGTTTATAATTACCGAAATATTACCGTTACGCAGAACAAACTTTACAATCCTTGTGATGCATTATACCACGTGATACATGCATTTCATGGTTAATCTCCAGTATTACTCCAGCTAGAGCACATTCAACTCCCACCTCTCCAAAGAATTGACTGATTCCTTTTACCTCTTCGTCTTCAACCATTTCTTGGATTAATTCATTGGCGGCCCAAACTGCAACACCTCCAAAAATTAGAGTAGTAGGAGCAAGAACATGACTTAAGCCTGTTGATAATGCTGTTTTGGCCAAAATCTTTGTTGTTTGGTCGCTTGATTTTCGCTTGATCGAGTTTGTTCTGTTATTCATCCTTTGTTAATGTTCTTTTCTTCCTGATTAACATCTATTATATTTATCGGCCTTTTTATAATCTCTGAATACATATCGATATATAATATTTTCCCATGATTAATTCGAATATCTATGGCGATGGAAGCAAAAAAATTTCCTTTGGGAAAATTTTGATAGAGATATATAATATATAACGTATCGATATTGGCAAAAATAATCTATCATGGGAAAATTTTGACCGATGTATAATAATAATACATTAATTCCTTGGTGTAAATTAAAAATAATTTACCAATCAAAATTGCGAAATGCCATATGTCACATAGTACATCAATATTTTTGTTTTCATCGCGTGCAGATGTCACGAAATTAATCATAAATTCTGTTTGATGGAAGCCTCAACTTCCCAAGCAAAAGCTGAAGCAAAATCAGCAAAATCTACTCGTGCAGCTTCGCTTCATTCTTCTCAGCTAGGGATTGATAGACACTACCGGCCAGAGTTAAAGTTTACCAACTTTGCCGCACAAGCACCAATAGTAACAAAATATGTTACTTCAAAGTTTTTAAGGCATGACGTGTCGTTTTTTCAGAGAGACGAGCTCACTAAACCTAGAGTTTTTCGAGAGAAAGAAAGAGAACGTGATATTAAAGATGAAGATAAGGATGACGAAGAGGAAGAAAGTAGCGAAGAAGAAGAATCAAATAAGGCATATATACAGATCATATATATTTATAATATAGCTGTTGGGAATGATAAAATTATAATGAAGATTGATATTGTTGAACATTAATAGATCGATCGAGAAGGATCAAAAGTCCTTGTGATTCATCCAGGTTCAAAAAATTTGAGAATAGGACGTGCGTCTAATGCATTTCCTCTAATCGTGCCTCATGTTATCGCGAGAAAATTGAACATTCCTAATGATCGCAACAGTCGAATAAAAAAGGAAAACAAAGAAAACACTGATTTTATGGAAATAGACTCCACCACCACCAACACGATTGAACCTTTACATCAAGGCAATGACGAGTCAAGCAAAAATGTCACGACCGACGGTGGTGGTAGTAATGGTAGTACCGTTAAAGAAGAATCATCCAATGAAAACACATCTGGCTCACCGAGTTCTTTAGCTAATATCGATGAATTAGAACAAGAAGAAGAGGTTCATGATTATTATATTCTCTCGAGGTTGAATAATCAATCGCGTCATTTTTTATTCATGTTTTACATTTTAATAGGCTCGGATAAAAAAGGGGATAGATGAAATTAAGAAGGAATTGAAAGAACGAATGAAAGCAGCAAAGCGACGTCCCGTTGCTAATGCTAGTGCTCAAATCGCTTCTTTTAACAAATTGGTTGTGCCTGAAATAATACCTGATCATAATGATCCATATAAAGTTGAATGGACTAGGATAGATGATGGGCATGATTATTATATTGGGGAAAAGGTAATCAAAAGCCATTTGATTTGATTGTGACTTATTAAAAAATACATATTAAAAAAAATAAATTGCTAATTAGGCACTTCGAATACCAACTCCTCTGACTCCATTCAAACTACTCTATCCCATACAACGTGGTGACCTGAATACGCGTGATTATGATTCTATCAAAGCTGTAATTGGTGATCTAGAGACAATATGGACCGAAGTTATTATTGAACAATTAAAAGTCAAAAAGAAAAACTTTGATGTATTTGCCTGTTTAATATTTTATAGTTGTCATTATTTTTATAAATTTCTAAATTATTTTTAATTTGTTTCAATAGAAATACTCAGTAATCCTAGTAATACCAGATTTATTTAATAGACTTTCAGTGACCGAAATGGTTACCATGTTATTGCGATATATGGGATTTTCTCGTGTATTTGTTCAACAGGAAGCTGTATGCGTGACATTTGGTGCTGGTATGTCAATGGCGTGTGTTGTTGATATTGGAGCTCAAACAACTAGTATTACGTGTGTTGAGGATGGAATGTGTATACCAGATTCAAGGTATATTAAAAAGAATTTAATCATTGTCCTAAGCTGATGTTTTCCGCAAATTTTAATTAATTCAAATGTTAATTTAAATTTATAAGGATATGTTTAAATTATGGATGTGATGATATTACGATCTTTTTCCTTCGGCTCTTAAAAAGAAGCAGATTTCCATATGAAGAAATTGATTTAAATAGATCATACGACTGGATGCTAGCGGAGGAAATGAAAGAGAGATTTTGTACCCTCAATGAAGTAATAATTTTTACGCGTTTCATAATTTTTAGAAGATAATCTATTTCCATGCTAATAATTATATGTGCGATTTCGCTTATTATCCTTAACTACAGGCTAATTTAACCATACAATTATATGATTTTTACGTGCGAGCGCCTAACGAGCCTACAAAGAAATATCAAATCAAGACCTATGACGAGGCTATTATTGCGCCTATGGTCTGTAAACATGAGAGCTAGAGAATTCCATCTTTTTGAATAAAACTTCATTAAAGATGCTAATAATTATTTTTGTAATTCTAGCTTTTACTTTATCCGCATATAATAAATTTCCAAAAAAAAGTGAATGAATTTCCTACAAAATTCTTCACTTATGCGATTGATGATATTAATGAAGGAAACGCGTCGACTGGGGTAAATATTTTTTCTAAGATAATGATTTATCAAGTGCGACATTTTTTATCATATATATATCATATACATGTCTATGTACATATTTATATATATAGTTGCCACCTGCTCCATTATCACAAAAACCAAAACTTCTAATTACCAATCCGTCACAAGTACGATCAAGTTCATACACATCACCATCGCCAGGACCTCGTGACAGTCCTCTTCCATCAACACCACGAATTGACTCGAATACCACAGCCACTGGACCCTCATCACCGTCTGTATTTTCTTCATTGTCGCGTAACAATATTACACCAATTGTTGATCCGGTATCGACATTACCTCTTGATGAAGCTATCGTCCAAAGTATAAATTGCTCGCCTACAGAAGAACGCGTCAAGAAATTTTATTCGAGTATTATTGTAGTTGGTGGTGGTGGTCTCATACCCGGGATCAATGCAATGCTGGAGGATCGGTATGTTGAGTTATTAAGAATTATTACTCAACGCTTTTTTCGATATGACTTAGAAGAGTATTAACGTTTTTATGTGTTATTTATGTTAATGTTATTATGGTTCACACGAACAATAGATTATCATCTAGACCGATGCCATTTGCCGATAAACTCGAGGTACTTTCTTCACGGCGTGAATTAGATCCCCGACTATTAGCATGGAAAGGCGCATCAGTGATGAGCAAATTAGAAATTGTCAATGAATCATGGATCAATACGAGAGAGTGGGGTGAATTGGGTGTCCGTTGTTTACGAGAGAAAGCAATGTTTGTATGGTGATTGAATTAAAACACATAAGTAATAGATTTATTTAATTGATATTCTCCATTAAAATCTTAATGTGTACAATATTTAATAATACAAGTTTTAGTTAACAAATTTTTATTTATATATACTGCAAGTCTCGAATTAGATTTCAAAAAAGGAAATGAATCTATCCGTAATAATACAATTTTTTGAAACTTGAAGTATTAAATGACGCGTGAGTTCTAAATTTTATACACGCATATTTATGTTGAACATGAATATAGAATTATTATTTCCCATTTACAGTACTATTTCGTTCGTTGTAAAAGGGTATGGGTTCGGAATATAGGTTGTCTTAAAGATACATGTAGCATGGTACAGTACAACAAACAAGACAGTGCAGTACAGTTTATGCTATAACCCCCATTTACACAACATTGTAAGGAGAGGTTAAAGTAAAAACATAAGGTTTTAAAGTCTACGATGGTACTTCTTGGGAAAACAGTAAGGTGATTTATTCGCTCTCTTTTTTTCTCTCGACTTTACGCCCGTTACTTCGACTCATACTCATGGCAACCTTAAAAACTATCAACGATGTTCTCATAAATATGCGTGTATAAAATTTAGAACTCACGCGTCATTTAATACTTCAAGT